TGAGGTGAAACTTGGGGGTATGCAAGGCAAATCAGACTCCTGAAAGGAGTAGAGTAGTCTGGAAAGGTTGAGAGCCACTGGCCTAATGGACTTCCTGAGTAGGCAATCTGTGACCAATTGTAAATGGTCCATGCACAGATCCATCACAGGACCAATATTCTGTCATTGGGCATCCCCCATAATAGACTTGCTTGCTACCAAGGACAATGCCAAGTATTGCAACTTTTCCTCCAGAGGTGGCCTCCATCCAGGATCATTGCTAGATATAGATTGTAAGCCTAGTGCAATGGGACCCTAGGTGCTATGGGAATAATTATTTATATTTAGTGGGTGGCTTATAAACCTTTTATGATCTAGAGCATAATGTCTTCCAAATTTGTGAGCACTTGCACAGATAAGTTAGGCTTATTTATTTATACATCTCCAATCTCTTTTCCCCTCACCCCCACCCCATTCCTGCTAGGCTCTTGGCCTCAATGACTTCTCTGTAGTCTTGAGTTCTGCTGGCTAATTGTGTTGTGTTTTCTCTCCAGATCTCCTAACCCATCCCTCTTGTGGTCCCTGCTGCCAGGGCTGCTTTCTGTCTTGACCGCTGCAGCATCCTGCTCCAACCCTAAATGTAGTTGCCTAGTTCGTCTGCCTTTTCTGCTACTCAGGCCATGTATCGGCATTCGCCCAATGTGAAGTTAAAGCTTGTACTACCTCCCTAAGCTCTCCTTCCTGCCTACAATCCAAGCGCCTCTCACCACTCTTTGTGTCCTTCCTCCACTGTTTGTTATGGGAACCCTTCCTCTCCCCTTCTAAAAGCGTGCCAGGGCCACAAAGCATTCCTCTTATCAGATGCAATCCATTCACTTTGCTCTGTACTGCACTATGCATATGGGTATGTCTATACAGCATTTTGGAGTCCACGGGAGTGAGCCTCCCAGCATGGGTCAACAGACTCTGGGTAGCAGGGCTCATGCTAGAGCTCTAAAAATAGCTGTTTAGACTTTGCTTTGAAGTTGCAGCTTGGGCCTGTCCCTCTCCCCGGCTTTCAAAGCCCAAGCTGCAGCCTGAACTGAAACATCAAAGCACTGTCCGCAGAGCTATTTTTAGAGCACTAGCATGAGCCCTGCTAGGCTGAATCTGTTGACCTGGGCTCTGAGGCTTGCTTCCTTGAGCTCCAAAATGCTGTGTAGACATAATGTGTCTTCAGACTGTGAGCTCCTCAGGCTAGGGCTTGATTTTCTTCATGCACTTTGTCTGTTGTGCCGTGCTTGGGTATGAAATGTTTGTCAAGTGCTTTGAGATTCTCACGTGACAGATACTATAGAGGTACAAAGTGTTGTGATCAGAGAGGCTTGGGTCCTGAAGTCTGGATCTGGCTCCAAAGGCTTGCAGAGTTGAGTAATGTTAAGATCCAGAGTTTTGGCTCAGTTCTGTCTCTAGTTATGATTTTATTAAATGGGAGAGGATGGGGAACGCAACTGAAGCAGCGTAGAAAATGGAGAGGCTAGATTTCTTTTTCAGTAGGTGATTACAGCCAGCAGATAAATGCACATGACAGGTCACAGGTCAGTTTATGTTGGTGGTTTGTCCCACCACCTTTGACTCTGTCCCTCTTTAGAGATTTCCTGTATAAATAAGTCTAAAAATATTTGGTTTTGGAGGGGGAGGGGAGTGTCAAGAGGCCATTAGGAGGTGGGTGCCACTTAGGTGACTAAAATGGGAGAGGGCGCTATTTTGAAAGCAGCTTTTCACGTATATTCTGCATTTATTTTTATCCTGCGATGGGTCATAACTTTAAAACTAGTGAACATTTCTCACTCTAAAAACACGCTTCCTTTTATAGTGTACACATGGCGGTGGTTTTACTACATTCAGCATAGAACTATTTCCTATTTTCCAGTTGTTCAGTAACACTCCAAAGCCCTTGCTCTGCCTCCCTCTCCATTGACTTTCTCGCCTTGCCAATCCATTATTGTGATTTCAGTGAGACGACGCCAGTGTTGAGAGTTTAATGGGCCGTGAGCAGGAAGTTCAGCTATTTCCTCCTCCTGTGAGACCATGATGTCATCAGCTGTTCTGGGTCACTTTATCATCTGCTGCTGCTGTTGCTTTGGTGTGTGTGGAAAGAATGTAAACAGCACTTTCCAGATGTTCTCAGGGTGGCTGCAGACCCATAAATGGGCTGTTTAGTTCAGGAGCATTAGTAATGTGTTTAGGGGGTGGCAGTGATTAGAGTCATAAAAATGTATAGTGCTATAAGCCTCCAGCACAGCATGCTCTGTTAGTTACATCACGTATGAGCAAAAGCTGGCAAGGGGGGCAGTTCCCGCTGTGTATGTATGTGGCCCCATTGGTGCAGTATCTGAGCACCTCACAGGCACTAATGAGTTTAGCCTCTCAGCACACCAGGGGAGGATTTCACAGGTGGGTAACTGGGACACCGGATGATTAAGTGATTTGTTCTGTGGCTTAGTCAGGCATTGAACCTGGATACGTGATGTTCCCAGGGCCTTAACCATAAGATTATTTTTATTATTATACTTTCCTGTTTCTCCTCCCTCTCTCCCTCCCAAACCATACCCCCAACTTTGAATCCCAGATAAAATTAAACGATAGAAAAGTCTTCTAGTAGGTCTGTGGCAGGCAGGTGCTAGTCTTTGTTAACCCATTCTGCCTCCAGGTGGTGGCTAAGGAGCTTGTTATATTGATGTTCTAGTCAGACTAATGATGAAAGAATCCAAAAAGGCATTCTAGTTGTCTTCGAACTCCACCCCCCAAAATAGCAGATTTGGTGCTAGTGAAAGGTGCTGGATAGGTAACCTTGGAGCTGGTGGCCTCTGACCCATAATAGGCATAGCACAGATTGCAGTAGCAGAGTGAAAGTCTTCCACCCTGAGCTCTCAGTGCTCAACAAGAGATCCCCTCTAGGTGGGAGGCTAGTTAAGTGCTGCTGGCCCATAGATTAATTAAACTAGTCCAGAGTGGGTAGATAAAATACAGCAAGGCCATGGCGGCTAATGGCTAGAGTGGAAGACTTTTTCTGGCTCTGCCAAGTTTGTCGTGTCACCTTGTGCAAGTCATTTAACTTCTCTGTACCACTGTGTCCCCCCATCTGGAAAATGGGGATGATGATGCTTCCTTACCTCACAGGGTGCTGTGAAGTGCTTTGAGACCCTTAGATAAATACTGAGGTTGACTATAAACAAAATACTTTAACTAGTGTTTTAAAAGGAAGCTACCTATTGAATTTTAGAAAATCAAAGAGAGAGTGGAAAAATGAATCTTAGCCTTGTATCTTCTCTCTGTGAAAATGCAGGTTATTATAGTGTCCAGTTTGGGATTGGCAAGGTCTTATCTATCTCGCTGCAGCTGGAAACAAGGACTTCAGGGTGAAGCGTCAAACCTCATGCACCACTAGGGAATTAAAAAACAAACAAACAAAAAACCCCAAGGCTAAAAAACCCGTCACTTCAGGGTGTGGGTTTTTTTTTTAATGGACTAATTAATTTTTATTGAGTCTTGGAAAATCTGATGTCAGACCTGCATTGTAGCAGGGCATGATGGAGCACAAGTTGATTGGAAATTATATAGCCGTGATCACAAGGCAGTGAAAGTTTAACTATGGGAGTTTAAAATAGCAAAGCTGAGCCATGTTGATATTAAAAGACATGACTGAATAGAAATAATGGTCTAATATTAAACTAGTTTTCTTTTCTTGGGGGAGGAAGCAAAATGCTTGGCTGGTTTCTCTCCCGATATCTGTTGTCCAAATATAGGTTTCTTACCTCAATACCTTGACTTTTTTAAATTATTGCTGGGAGATCGGTGTTTGCAGCTTTTCCCCCCACCAAACACAAGTTACAAGTTGCTTTATGGATTATCTGGCAGTCGTTTACGTGTCTCTCATCGTAGCACATACAACCTTGGTGTAACTCCACTGAAGTCAACTGGATGAATGTTGCCCCTTAAATTTCCTGGCAACTGAAGCCAGAGCTCCCTGGAGTGTTTTCCAGGCTTCTTCCATGAATCTCTGCTGCCATGTCACCTTTCTTTGTTTTTAATGATTTCAGCTAGGGGAAGATCTAATACCTGCTCCCTGTTCCACCTGAATCCACTGGGTGAAAGGAACTCTTCTGTCTTCAGTCTTAACAGACCTATTCTTTAATTAGGTTGCCTTTCTGCATTTTTCTTCCTAGTTCATAGGAGCTGATTGACTGAACAGCTTTGCTCATTACAGCAGGATTAATTTAAAAGACACAACTGTTTCTATAATTCAGGTTTGGGGCTTGGGAGATGTTCCTTTTAGAAAACCTGTTCTGTGGATCCTGCTGTGAAAAGCAGAAAAAGACTGGGCCCAGTAGGCTAATGTGCAGGCTTTTAGATCTGGATTCAAAACTTTATTTCCCTAAATGAAAATATATGTATGTATTCTTCTTCTAGTCCCTGGGTATGCTTGTCAGTACCTCCAAAATGACTGCCCAGTCCCATGACACTAGCAGCCTATCTGATATTCCATCCCTGTCCAAAGTGGGTGCTGCAGGTGAGGACAGGGGAGCTTTGGGGGTGAGCATGTGTGTGGAGAGCCTGCCTGGTTCGTACTGGGTTCCTTGCATTCATGAGCCCATAGTTTGAATACAAAAAATTTGAAAAGGGAAAAGAATACTCTTTCTGATGACATCATTGATTATACAATGGTCTATAATTTGTCCACCATAACCTATTTCCCTCCAATGCTAGCTAACTAGCTAGAGTGCAGAGACCCATGAGAGCAAGGCAAGGGAGGTAGAGGAGGGAGCTTGCAAAGGTGGAGCCAAAAAGTAGCTTAGTTACATAACTGTACAAAAGGAAAGGGCTTTGTGTGGTTTTTTTTTTTTCATGCCCTTCTGCAAAATGAAAAATGTTGTTGGAAACCTGAATGGAAAAATCCTGAGCATCATTGAACCCTGCAGGGACATGAAGTATATTGAAATATTCCACCTGTTTTATGGCTGTTGCTTTTCCTCTTTCAGGTTTGATATCTACAGGAAGGTGCCAAAAGACCTCACACAGCCAACCTACACAGGAGCTATTAGTAAGTACCAGCTCTCATTGCCTCCTGGGCATACCCCAGTCTAAAACTAGTATTTCTTCTGGCCTCCCTCTAAAAGGTCTGATTTTTAAAGGGATATTAAACACATGAGAAAAGACATCTTCTGTAGCTGAGGCAGCTTGCTGTGTGCAGTCTGTGCTCTTGTACGGAGGAGCTGAACAGCCCCTGAAGGCAATTGGTTTTAGAACCACACAGACAGAAAATGGCAAAAAGGGAGCTGTTAAAAGCAGGCTCTGAACTACCAGCCATTTAACTCTGACACGGGCTGAAGTAGATGGGGAGCTGCTAGCTCCCTCCCTTGATGGGTGTTTGCCTGCTCCAAACAGACTTTTCAATTCTTGCCCTGCCTCCTGCCCCGCCTCTTCCCTCAACGCCTCACCCCCTGCTCACTTCTCTTCTCCCCTCCCTCTGTCACTTGCTCTCCACCACCACCACCCCCCTCCACCTGCTCACTCCCCACGCTCCCAGGACTCACCAGCTGCCTGCAGAGCCAGGCTGGGAGGAGCTGACGTGGAGCCTGCCCACCTGCCCAATTGGGGCACAGCGGGGGGTTGGTCCCCAGAGCAAGGGGCTGGGGCAGGGAGGGATCAGTCCCGGTAGCAAGGGGCGAGGGCTGGGGCAATCGGGGCACAGCGGGGCAGAGGGGGGGGGGGGGTGGAGAGATCCCTCCCCTCTCCCCCCGCCAGCCACTGCTCTCTGTCAGGTGTCAGCAGAGAGCAGCTCCTCCATGTGGCTCCAGCTGCTGCTCTTCCTACCTCCGAGTGATGGAGGCCGGTTACTGCAGCCAACAGTCAGCCGTGCTGACTGGATGCCTCTAGGAACACCTGGCAACCCTAGCTTTGGACTCAGCTTTCTTAAATAATTTTGTATAATCTGGAGACTTTGCTGCTTCTGGATCATTAATTGATCCCTTTTCTGGATCATTTAATGAATATGTTAAACAGCACAGGTTCCAATATAGACACCTCTCTCCATTGTGAAAACGGATCATTTATTTCTACCCTTTCTTTCCTATGTTTTAACCAGTTACTGATCCAGGAGAGGATCTTCCCTGTTATCCTATGACTACTTAATTTCCTTAAGAGCCTTTGATGAGGGACCTTGTCATAGGCTTTCTGAAAATCCAGATACACTATATCAACTGGATCAGCCCTATACACATGATTGTTGACTCTCTCAAAGAGCTCTAATAGATTGGTGAGGCATGACTTCCCTTTACAAAAGCCATATTGACTCTTCCCCAACAAATACTTATGTATCTGAAAATTCTGTTCTTTACTATAGTTTCTACCAATTTGCCCCCTACAATGTGGGACAATACTGCAGATTTGTCACCCAAAAAGAACAGCGCTCATATGGGAATCTTCCTGCACATCCTTTGCAGTGAAGATCAATACAAAGAACTCATTTAGCTTCTCTGCAATGGCCTTGTCTTCCTTGAGTGCTCTTTTAACACCTTGGTTGTCTAGTGGCCCCACTGCCGGTTTGTCAGACTTCCTGTTTCTGATATACTTTCAAAAAACAAAACAAAACAAAAGAAAACCTAAACCAAAACCTTACTACTAGATTTTGCATCTTAAACAAGTTGCTTCTCAAATTCCTTCTTGGCCTGTCTTATTGTACTTTTACATTTTATCTGCCAGAGTTTGTGCATGTAGGATTTGACTTCCAAATTTTAAAGGATGCTTTTTTGCCTCTAATGGCCTTCATTACTCTGCTGTTTAGCCAGAGTGGGATTCTTTTGGTCCTTTTATTGTCTTTTCTGATTTGAGGTATGCATTTAGTCTGAGTCTTTGTCATGGTCTTTTTAAATAGTCCCCATGCTGTTTGCAGGCATTTTACCTTTGTGGCAGCTCCATTTAATTTCCATCTAACAAGTGGCCTTATTTTTATGTCGTTCCTGCTTTTAGCGTTGGGTCTCTTTGGTATTCTGTCCCCTACAAGGATGTTAAAGTTAATTAGATGATGGTCACTATTACCGAGCTGTTCAGCTATAGTCACCTCTTGGACCAAATCCTGTGCTCCACTTAGGACTAAATCAAGAATTGCCTCTCCCCTTGTGGGTTCCAGGACTAGCTGCTCCATGAAGCAGTCATTATGGTATCTAAAAATTTTCTCTCTCCATTATGCCCTGATGTGACATTTACCCAATCAATAAGAGGCCAGCCGAAATCACCCATTATTATTGTGCTTTATGCTCTTGTAGCCTCTTTAACCTTCTTTAGCATTTCACAATCGCTGTTAGCAGTCAGGAGAGAGCTGGGGTGGTGGGGTGGCAATAAAGATGGGATTCCTCTGGGATCAGAGATGGAGCTGGCGAGGAGAAGAGAGCCCAATATGACTTATTTCTGCAATTTTTTTGTTTTTATTTTTCACTTTGCCTATAACTAGGGTCCTACCAAATTCCTGGCCATGAAAAATGTGTCATGGACCGTGAAGTCTGGTCTCCCCCTGTGAAATCTGGCAGCAGCAGAGAAGTAAGGGTGACAATACCGCAATCCCCCTAAAATAACTTTGCCACCCCCCTGCAACTCCCTTTTGGGTCAGAACTCCCAATTTGACAAATCCTGGTCTCCCCCTGTGAAATCTGGTCTTTTGTGTGCTTTTACACTATACTATACAGATTTCACAGGGGGAGACCAGCATTTCTCAAATTGGGAGTTCTGACCCAAAAGGGAGTTGCAGGGGGGTAGCAAAGTTATTTTAGGGGGATTGCGGTATTGCCACCGTTACATTTCTGCTGCTGCCTTCAGATCTGGGTGGCTAGAGAGAGTGGTGGCTGCTGACCAAGGGCCCAGCTCTGAAGGTAGCAGCGCAGAAGTAAGGGTGGCGATATCATACCATGCCATCCTTACTTCTGCGCTGCGGCTGATGGCGGCTCTGCCTTCAGCGCTGGGCTCCCAGCCAGCAGCTGTGGCTCTCCAGCCACCCAGCTCTGATGGTAGCACCGCCTCCAGTAGCAGCACAGAAGTAAGGGTAGCAGTACTACAATCTCCCCTACAATAACCTTGGCCATCCACCACTTTTGGGTCAGGACCCCTACAATTACAACACCGTGAAATTTCAGATTTAAATACCTGAAATCATGAAATATACAATTTTAAAAATCTACGACCATGAATTTGGTAGGACCCTTCCCCCCACCCCATGTATCTGTGCATAGTTTTTGGCTGATGTAAATTTCTTGCCTTGGGCCTTTCTTCTTCCTTCCTCCTTTTCAGATTGACTGAGTAATGTAATTTCACACCATCATTACCACTGAGTGCTCTGCGTGGAGTGGTAAATACAGATCTAGCTGATCCTGCCAAATTTGTAATTAGATGCCTAATGCGGCTTTCCTGTTCCGTTTCACACTGACTCCCTTTGATCACGTAGTTGTGGCCCATTCACTCACCCTCGGAGATTGGGTCAGTGGCCCTGTATTCATTGCTGACGCAAGTGATGTCATATCCCTTGGTGGAGTCAGTAACAGTGAATCAGAAGGATGTGAAGCGAAGGGCTGTGTGAGCCGGGGAGACTCCTGACCAAAGATGGGATGAGATGTTTTACCAAACATTTGGTGTCACTGAACCATTTTTCTTCAGAGGCTCTATGCCTCTCTGGCTCTCCCAAACACTGAATTCCTCCAGCATTGACCCTGCCCTCCTGTAGTCATGGTGCAGCTGCTAAGATTATTCCCAATGTGCCAGCACAGTAGTTTGCATAGACACCCCCCTGTCCCCAACAAGCACAGCCATAAGGTCTACATGAACCTGTTGATAAGTTTGGAGGCCCCTAAGATCTGTTGTTAGGAGGGGACTCTGAGAGTGTGTCGAGGCCCCAAAACTTCCCCTCCATTTGAGAAGTGACAGTCCCACACCTCATCTTGATTCCGTTTGGGAGCTTGTCCCGTAGTGCAGTTGTCTCTGTATCACCTGAAAAGGAGCTTTTAAAAAACTTTTTTAGAGCTGGGATAGTGTGCCCCTCTCTGATCTGTGACATTTGATTAGTGCAGTAAGTTTGGCATGGAAAACTTTGGAGGCCAGGAATCTTACTAAAATGATTAACTGACTAATTTCCCCCTGTATCTGGCTTATCAAGCCTCCCTTTCCTTTGACAGGTTCCTCTCTAACCACTTCACATCTCCTGCCTGCCACTCTCCCGGTGTGGAGGGGATTGGAAAGCTTACACCAGTCAGGTGGTCAACATGCAAAACCAGCTGGCATCTCTCTGTGTGGTGATCTCTGTATACAGCCTTCTCAATGGGCTGCCTGTCTGACTCAGCCTGTGACTCTTGATTGTAAAACCAGTATCTCTAAGCTTTGCAGGCTTTTTATGGAAGTCAGGAGTGAGACAAGCCAACTGCCCTACTTAGGGTATAATGTGCCAGTTTGCAGCCTGTCAGGACAGCAGGATTTTGTGATAAATATTTTATGGGATGTGGGTTGTAATAATCTTATTTAGGGGATTGTGTGTGTGGTGGGGGATTAATTCCCCATAAAGAATTTTTACCAGGGCACCAGAATAAATGAAATGACTATGGTACTAGAATAGATGAAATGACTATGGTTGCCTCTCTGGACATCCAACTTGCTTGAAGTTCTAAAACAGTTTGTAGCAGCTGATTGCTTATAGTCCTGCACTTCCCATGTAATTGCTGCATAGGCACTGGTCCAGTGTTGCCTCTGGAAGGGAACTCGCATGGTGCTGAAGCTTTCTGGAATAGAAACGTGTTTGTCAGCCAGACTCCCACAGTCACTTTTGGGTTGTAAAATGCTGCTTCTCACTATGGCAGCTTACTGGAAGGTTTGGTGTCTCAGTGCTGCCTGCACTAGGGAATGTTGAGCTGATCAGGTGCTGGGAGACAGAAGCATCCAACATGGGAAGCGCTGAAGTCCATTCCTGTCTGATGGGAGTGTGGGTAGCCTATCTTGATACGATGGGCAGGGGCACATTAAAACACCGGGGATGTTCAGGAGCCAGCTGATGCGTTTCTTTGGTGT